TATATTTAAAACCTGCACTTTCCTTTTTTCATTAAAAGAGCCTCTCACCCGCATTTCTGAGATAACAACTTGGAATAAAGTAGCTCTTTGTGAATGCTGGGAGAGCAACGCTGTCTAGGTCTGATGTCTGAAATGTAACACATTAAAAAATAATAATCTTTCTACCTGTGCAAAATTAATCAGATTAAATAATGATCTCAATACAATTTCCCTGGTGACCTTTATTGAGGAAAGAAGAAATTCTTCCTGATATACTAAAAATAACCATGGCAAAGCAGAGTTTCTCTAAACTTTGGTGTTATCATTCTCTCTAAACTCTTGAAACAAATGTAAACCTCCCTCCAGCATTACAACATTCAGTTCTGCACCATTCTCTAGAAGCATCCCATCCCTGGAACCCCAAAAATCTGCCCCAGAATCTCTGCCTGGATTTCTGTAGCATTCCCAGGAACACCTGCCCTGGGAACAGCCCTGGGTCTGCTCTCACATTCCACTTAGTTGGGTACCATGCTCACAATCTTCTGGGAGCAGAAAACATAATCTGGAGTGGTAAGCACTTAAAAAGGTTGATTTTAGCTTTGTTGCCCTAAAAAGATGATGTTTTCTATTCTTTAAGCATTTCAGCAGAGCTTTGAAGGCAAAGAGAAAGATTTTCAACAGTTTGATTCAAGATTTTGTCCTTTCTCTTAGAAGAGCTATGGAAGAGCCACTGCAGAGACACTTCCCTCCCCCAAATCCACTTGGGAATGCAGGAAAAACAACTTCCCTGATGTTCTCCCCTTCAAGCAAAGCTTCCAGGACCTCTTGGAAGCCAAATACTGGTTAAACCCCACAGGTCTGTGCAAAGGATGGCAGTTCCACAGGAATCCCACTGCCAGAGGGCAGGGATAGGTGAAATATTGGGAAGGAATTGTCCCCTGGGAGTGTGGGAAGGCCCTGGCACAGGGTGCCCAGAGAAGCTGTGGCTGCCCCTGGATCCCTGGAAGTGTCCAAGGCCAGGTTGGAACTACCTTTTGCAGGGCTGTTGCTCCTGCTGGGTGACTCCTGAGAGGATTAATACAATTTTATCCTGTAAAGAGCAACCATCATTGCCAGAAAGATACAAAGCATTCCAGCTGGCCTGGCTGGTGTCACCACAAAAACCTTGGTTTTCTCAGCTATGAGTGAATTACCTGATTCTGCTCCTGTTGTTGCTACAGCTTTGATCCAGCTCCATCTCTAGCCTGGGATCAGCTGGGCTCAGTCCGGACAGGGAAATCACTGACACTCCCTTCTTCCAGAAATAAAATAAGGCAAAACTCAGTTCTCATCTAATGGGCTTCTGAGAGCCAGCTGCCTCCAAAATTCATCTGATAAAGTGCACTGTTCTTTGGGCTTATCAAAGCTTAATGTCTAACAGTGCTTTGTAATAAATGCACATCTTCCTCAGGCTACAAACAATGGTAACTCAGCAACATGGAATCATGAAATGGCTTCCCTTGGAAAGGATCTTAAAGCTCATCTCACTGCACCCCTGCCATGGGCAGGGACACCTTCCACTCTCCCAGGTTGCTCCAAGCCCCAAGGTCCAGCCTGGCCTTGGACACTTCCAGGGATCCAGGGGCAGCCACAGCTTCTCTGGGCACCCTGTGCCAGGGCCTCCCTCCCAGGGAACAATTCCTTCCCAATATCCCATCTATCCCTGCCCTCTGGCACTGGGAAGATATTCCCTGTGTTCTGACACTTCATTCCTTGTACAGAGTCTCTCTCGCTCTCTGTTTCCTGCAGCTCCTTCAGGCACTGGAAGGCCACAGTTTGGTCACCCCAAAGCTTCTCCTCTCCAGGCTGAACAATCCCAGCTCTCCCAGCCTTTCCTCCCAGCAGAGCTGCTCCATCCCTCTGATCGTCCTGGTGCCTCCTCTGGGCTCTCTCCAGCAGCTCCAGGTCTCTCCTGTGCTGGGCCCCAGGTCTGGGGCAGCTCTGCAGGTGGGGTCTCACCTGAGCACAGGGACAGAGGGGCAGAATCCCCCCCTCCCCTGCTGCCCACACTGGGGGCTCAGCCCAGGGCACAGGGGGAGTTCTGGGTCTCAGCTCTCACCCACAGCACCCCCAGGTCCTTCTCCAGGGCTGCTCATCCTCAGCCTCAATTGATCCCAGGGGTTTGCCCTGACCCAGGGGCACCGCCAGCACATGGTCTTGTTAAACCCCATGAGATTCCCATGGGCCACTTCTGGAGCTTGTCCATGTCCCTCTGGTTGGCCCTCTCCTTCAGGAGAGTTTTAAAGTTACCATTTCTGCAGCAGCATTTGAGGGGTGAGCAAGTGTGTGCAGGAAAACAAGGTGAGAACCATTTATCCCCATACACCAGCTGGAAATTATGCCTAATTTTAACCTTTCCAGTTACACCTGGCATTTAGTGAAGTAAACTGCTGGAAAATGGAGAAGCACTTCCCAGGCACTGAGAGTATCACTCAGAAGGAACTTGGAGACAACCACCACCATGGCTGTTATGCACTGGGAGACTCCTGGACTCATCAAGTGGTATTCCCTTGGAATGTGTGACAGTTCCCAGGAAGCATTTCCATGGCCCAAAACAGCCCATTCCCACTGGGTGTTTCCCTACCATTTGCTAAAAAATCACATTTTATTTTTTCCAATCCTTTTTCCATTTTACTGGCTATTTTCCAGGTTCTGGAAGGATTCAAGCTGTCATGGGAGGATGCTGAGTGACTGTGCTGGGACATTTCTGCCTGACACTTGTAGACCCAAGACTGACACTTGTAACCCACCACGACCACACTTGCTCCAAATCCTGGGTGCAGAGACTCCCCACCATTAATACAAAAATATTTAATATTAATATTTTATTTCCCTGACAGATCTGTGGGGCTTTCTTTATAGTCTTGCTCGCAGCAGTAAATACTTAAACAAGGGAGAAAATAGAAATAGTTCCATTTTCTACCTTGCTTTCCTTTTTCCCTCCCAGTGGGAATTACACTGCCCTGCCACAACCCCATAATTTCTCATTTGGATCTTCTCTGGTCTGAAAATATACTAGATGTTGTGCTAAGCCTCCTAAGAATCCTGTTTGGAGGAGTGTAGGAATTAAATCAGTGGCAGGAGCGGTGATTATCACCTTGATCCGCCAGTGAGTGCTTCTGCCACTCAGGGGAAGCTGCTCATGCCTTGCCTCAGCCCAACAAATTTCGGTGCTTAAACAGCTCTAAATTACATCCCATGGCACAGATCTGGAATTCTACTCCCTGTACCCAAAGCTGGACTAATGCCTCGCTTTCCAAAGGGAAATAAAAGGGATTTTTTTTTTTTTTTTTACTGGCTCAATCTATGAGGTTCCTGCTGTTGATTCTGGCTGCCAGCACCCGCTAATAGCCTAAAATCCAGAGTTACTCATGGCATGGCATCCCCAGAAAACAAATTGACAGGATGACACCCCCAGAAAATAAAAGAGAAAAAAAAACCAAAAACCCACAGCCCCCATCTTGTACATCTGAGAGTTTTCCCCACAGTATTCCCAATTTTAAAAGTTGAGCTAAAATTGAGTTAATTTTAGATAACGCAGCCCCCATTGCTACAAAAAGTGGGAATTCTGATCTCTCTGCATTGTGGGGGAAGCTCTGAGCACCTGGACAGCACAAAGGAACTGGTGGGGATGGAATTTCCCTTGGATAAACATGGACAGCACTACTGACCACCAGTGTCCAGCCCCAGGATCCTTCCCAGGGCTGCAGTTGTTTTAGAAATAGAGAAACAACTTCTGTTTTCCCTCAGCAAATTAGGAGAAAATGTTCCTATAGAAAGTCCACAACCCTAATGAATAGAAGGAATAGAACTGACAGACTTTGCAATAAAAAGTGAGGCAGTGAAATAATAACAGTTTCTTCAACAGGATTAAAATATAACATTTTACTCATTGTTTCAAAGAATAGATTTTTTTTTTCTTTCTTCCATCAGTCTTATCTGTATGTCCAGCCTCCAGCTTAACTCCAAACAGATGTTTTAGTGCCGGTCCCAAGTGCAAATATGCCAAGAAAAAGGAATTAGGGAAAAGAAACATCAGGTGGGTTTGTTTTCCCCACGTGTGAGAGGCTACAGTGCATTTCTCATGCCTGAAAACAAGCACCATTGCTCAAAATATTTGGTCAGAAACCTCAGCTTGAGAAGGAGGTATTGGACAGAGAAGTCACATTGACACCACATGCAGACAGCTCCCAAAGACGAACATTCCCAGGGATCTGCTGGGGGAGAATCTGGGCAAAGGGAAAACCAACACAGCCACAGCAGCAGAAAGTCCTTTTACTGCCAGAGCAGATCTGTCCTCACCCAGACCTCACAGTGAGCTGTGGAACGTGGGGAGAATGGTGATGCCAATCTCTTCCTTACTAATTACATTTATCTGTTGGCTCTTCCAATCTTTCCAGAGGAATCCAGGTTGTTCTTACAACTGGTTTGATTTTACCCCAAAAAAAGTTTGCACAGCACAACAGGACACTTTTCTCATGTGAAGTGGTTCTGCTTTTTTCCTTTGCTGCTTCACACTGGAAAAAATAACTTTTCTTTGTCTTTTTTGGGTGTTGGTGACAACAAACAATGAAAATTCTGAGCTCCCTGCCTAAGCTGTGACAACACACTCAAAACTTTGAGGTAAAACCAGAAATTGTAACCAGGTGCCTGAATTTATGTCATGTATTTCACAGGTAATGAGTACTACAACTTTTGGAAACAACTCTGTGTTGTGTACGTGTCCTGAGACCCTTTGCCCTTCCCAGATATGTTTGTGCACGTTCACCTCAAAAAATATTCCCCTTTTCTCCTCCTCCTTGTGGGATCCATTTGTCTTTTCAGCACGTTTGTGTTCAAAGTTACCAAAGTGGAATGGTGATGACACTGCTTAACCCACCAGCCAGCTGGACTTGGGAATGGATCCATCCTCTTCCCATTAATTCCTCTTTAGTGCCTCCCCCTATCATAGGCTCATGGATCATCCTGCTTTATTCCAGAAGAATACAGCCATAGGATGACAATTACTGATAAAGCATAAAAGCTGGAGCTAAAGACCATGGAAAGAAGCAAACAGAACTGATGTGGGAAGAGATGAAAAGATGAAAAATTGACCGGAGAAGAAAATTGGAGTGAGCTAATTTGTAAAAGAAAATGAACAAACCACAGCCAGGTAGCTCTGAATAAGATTAATTGCTACACGTTGCCTTCCTCTTTGCAATTTTTATCTTATTTCAGCTTCTCTTGCACTTTTCTAAGTGGCAGTGCTGTAATCTCAGGAACTTTGATTCCATAACTTTGCCAGCTGGGCACTGTTTGCATAAATTGCTCTGATTTTGGAATTGGGACTCAAATTCCAGCAGCAGCCGAGGATTTACTCCATTGACTTGGATGGGTTTCTTTTTAATGTATTACTCTGAGGTCAGAAGGCAGAGCTCCGGATATAAATCTTGAGCATAAATAGACAATTCCCAATTCTAGACAGTAGAGCCACAAGTACCATACAGAAAAACAAAGCCAGGCAGGTATAAAACTGTCTGGAGGGTTAAACCAAAGGGGGCTGTGCATTTATTAGTAGTTTACTGTTTATTAAACAAGAACTCCAGTTCCAAAAAGAACTCATTAATTGAAACCAAGTAGTGTTTAGTGAAATGGGAGCCTGTCAAAACTGGGGAGGACAACGGATCAGTAGTCCAAATGTGAGTGCAAATTTTGTCTGGGAATTTTAAAGCGTGCCATTTGTCATGGACTACGGATGTGCACCATACAAACTCCGTACATCTGCCCCTGGGTGACAATAAAAAGCGCAGTTTATTATAAACCGAAGTAAAAATGGAAATTAAAAAAAATCAACTAAAATCACAGTTTTGTCATTGGTATGTGGAGGTTGTTCCAAGGGCCCATCCAGAGCTCCTCCTCGTCAGACTGTGTGTGTTCACTATGAGACTCCAAGGGCTCCTTGACTTCCTCGTGGTCAACAACTGATTCCTGCTCGTCTGTGCTTTTCAGTTTGGCCGCCCCGGCCTTTGTCACTACATTTTCGGCCCCTATAGTAGAGGAAAAGGAGACACTGCATGGCCTGGAGTTCATTTTGTCACTTGGGGATGGTCCCTTGGACAATGTGTTCAGCGGGACGCTCTCCTCATGTGTCACCGCCAGCTTGTCCAGTTTCTTGAACTGCTTCCCCAGCCTCACTGGGGACGTTGCTTTTAAGTTATTGCCGAGGCAGACGCGGCGGGTGCGCACGACGGAGCCGTTCTGGGCGATGTAGATGTTGCCATTGCTGCTGGGCTGGAAGCCGGCGTTGCTCGGCCGGTTCCTCTGGCTGGGGTCGGGAGCGCTCTCCTCGCCCGTGGAGCTGCTCTCGTACTCTGGGTCCACCACCAACTTGATCCTCTTCTTTTTGGCCCACTGTTAGACAACAAAAAGAAATGTCAGTGCAACCCAGCACTGTTTCTTCATCTCCCTGCCCTTTCTGTTCATTGATTAATAACACTCATCAATTTCTATTAATTTTGCATCTTTTCCCTTGGGATGTGCGCAGAAACTGGAGGGCCCTGAGGAGGAAGTGAGGGCTGTGTGAGAGATACCTTTAGGAAACTACTCCAAGGTGCAAATTCTAGCAAGGCCTTGGAAGTTTTCTTCCCTTGCATTGTGAATTCCGTGCACTGGGTAGCTCTGATTTGTGTGCATCACACATCCAGCAGAGAAAATCCCAGGACGTACACCAGGGAAAATCTCAGGCACAGCGCTGGCCAAACTGTCTGGTTACAAAAAGAACAGCTCTGTGTAAGGCTTTGTGACTGTTCCAGACAGGTGGGATCAGTGGAAATGCTCAGGAAGATGGTGGAGAAAACAGGCTTTAGATTTATATAACTTACATATTTTCTCAAAGAATTAATGCAAACAATTTTCATGGTGCTATGATTTTGTAGTAGCAGTGATTCCTCTACGGTGAGCACACAACCCCCCCCCTAGTTATTATAATTTATAATTGATCTTTTAAAAATAGATGCCTCCTTGCAGCATACTGAAAAGAGCTATTACCCTTCTTGAATGAATAATTCATACACTAAGATGCCATCACAGTTAGCCTCCACTGCAAAACACACACAGAACATGAGAAAAGCCAGTTTTTAGAGGAAGAAAATCATGCAAGGTACAAATAGGAGATTAGTCTTCAGCTTCTGAGAAGTTACACTTGGTAAAAATTACTTAGATGTCTATTTTATTGGTCCTGGGAAAGACAGACAATGTTCTTCACACGGACATATTCCAGTGGATCTATTCCTGCTTAGTTTAAATGGGATTGACATTAAAACATTGCACATAGCTACTACATTGTGCTGTGTGGGGATGCAAAGGGGCAGGTAAGTGGCCATGGCTCGAGTTCAAAGAGATGTTTGAATAAAACAAAATAAAACAAAACAAAATAAAACAAAATAAAACAAACCCACTGTACTGATAGGCAGGAAAGGCAGAGAGTTTGGGAAATGTAATCCATTTCCTTTCCTGACCCAGCTCACTTGGTCCTCCTGCTACAGCATTCCTGGCTTATGCGTCACTGGTGTTTGCAACCTGAATTCTGTCATCCAGAAACAGCCCAATCCCAGCTGTCCCAATTATCCCCTGCACTTCTGGGAATGTTGTTTTGCTGCAATTCCACTTGTTCTCCCTGCAAATAGAGCTGACCTTGACAGCAGAGAATTCACCTGAAGATTAGCAAATGTATTAATACAATATTAATGTATAAGATGAAAACATGGATGATTTTGAAATCTGTACATCCTCCTCCTCCTCATTCCCATTCTTCCCTAAATCCCGTGTTTCATTGCTCCATGAAAATGAAACTTTCTATATCTATGGCTGGGTATATCTATAGTGTGTGTATATATATATTTACATATATATCCACAGGGCTGGAACTAGTTTGGTTTTCCACAGTTCTCTCCCAAGGACAGTGAAATGCTGGATCAATACGCTTTGTCCTTTCCTTTTGGCTGTCTCCAGCCTGTCAGCATCGCTTAGGAAAGACCACACAGAAGGCACAGCAAACAAAGCAACTCCTCACTGCAAACCATCACCTACTGTCACTCCTCTTTAAAAGGAGGTGGAATCACCCGTGGCCTCCGACTCTGTAATTCCAGTACCCAGGGTCTCATCTGACTGGGACTGGCTGCTTTCCTGGGCCACCTTTTTCCTTGTTTTCATTCCTTTCCTGTCGGTGTCAGAGCTCTGAGGCTCAGTCTCAGTCGTGGCAGCTTTCCCAGAAGTGGCACTACCTGAGCTTTCTGTCCCTGTGGTACCTTTGGAAGTTGCACTGATTTCACTGCCTAGGCAAGAAGATTCATTCTTACTGGTAGTGTCCTCCCTGTCACTGTCCTCTGGATCAACCTCTTCTTCACTTTCCTCTTCACTCTCCTCCCCAGGAGCAGCTGATTGTCCTCCCTTGCCCTCTCCAGCAGCAGCAGCTTTTGCATTGGCAGTTTTAGAAACCACCTTGTTTGAGTTATCTGCTGTCTCCTCTGCCTCTTCCTCTTCTTCTGACACCTCTTCTATGGTGTCCTCTATTTCCACACTGGCAGAGGAGGTTTTGCTCTTGTAGCTGGATCCCGAGGTTTTCTTGTAGCTCGTGTCCCTGTCACTACCTGAGGCAGTGGAGCTCACAGATTTCTGGCTGGAGCGTTTGCCACGGGAGCTGCCTGCCCTGCTTTTTACACTAGACATATCCGTGCTTCTCCTGCTGCTGGACTCACTGGTCCCTGACCTGCTGTAGGAGCTCCGTGTGGATGAGCTCTTGGACAGGCTGCCATCCTCATCGCTCTCAGACTCTTCCTCATCATCATCCTCTTCCGATGAGTCTTCCTCCGACTCACTGCTGGAGCTGGATTCAGAGTCCTCATCAGAATCCCCCACATCCCCAGTTTCCTCATCCGAGTCCACGGTGCTTTCCGTGGCCTCATCCTGATCCAGGGTTATTTTCAAGTAGTCTTTGTCTTCTGACTCGGAGCCGGAGCTGCTGCTCTTCTCAGAGGACTCATCCGAGGCGCGCCTCCTTCTCTTCTTCCTCCTCTTCTCATAGTCACTGTCCTCCTGCTCACTCTCTGCTGTGATACTGATTGAAACTCCCGACTTGGCTTCATCCCTCTCAGACCCTTCCTCTCCATGTGCCAAATCCTTGCCAAGGCCCTCCTGGAATTTCCTGGAGATGCTAATGCGCTTCAACACGTGGTTTAGTTTTCTCATGGAGGGCCTGTCATCCGTGGATTTCTGGAAGTAGCTTCCCCTGATCATCATGGGTTTGTCCCCATCTGCTTGGCGAGCTGACAGCAGCTTGGCATAGCTGGAATCTTTCCTACCTTTCACCTTCTGCAGGATCATCGGGAATATCTTTGCTTTCTTCCACCGGGAACGGGCAGACTCAGCTCTTCCTACAGGTTTGTGGGCACTGACTGCCACACGACTTAAATGCATCACTGCCTTTAGCCTTCTTTTTCCCTGGCTGCTCCTAAATCCTCTTCCAGGACCATGGCTGAGGTCCATCCCAACACCTACAGGTCTCCCTTCCATTTGAGGCCCTGCTGCCTGGCTTATACCTCTGCTGGGAGGGCCTCTGACTGGACTCATGCCCTGCAAATTATGAAAATTAATTGATTACCACTTGAAAGAAAGTTATTGTGACAACCTGTACCTTAAAATAGGGCAGGAACAGATGCAACATTTATTTCCCAGCATCAAAATGAACTCACCCGTTTTAGAACAGTTTTCTTAACAAAGTTATCAGATATGTTTTGGAATTTTAGTTTTAGAAAGTTCTAGAATAGTCTGGAAATGCACAACTACCTTACTCTGCAATGGGGAAAACACTGTAGTGTTCTGTCTTCTCATTTAATAATAGATTAAGATCTGGCATTTATGAAAATTGGACTTTTTTCTCAAAAGAAAAGTTTACATTGACTTTCTTCTGATTGCTGCTGACATTTAAATTTTTTTTTAGATTTCATTGTGAACTTTATGGCAAATGAGTTTAGGTACTGTTTTTCTCAGCAGAAAGTCATCATTTATAAGAAGAATATTAGTAACACACTCGTAGAGTCATAGAGTGGATTTAGTTAGAAGGGACCTACAAGCCCATCCAGTTTCGCCCCTGCCATGGGCAGGGACACCTTCCACTATCCCAGGCTGCTTCAAGCCCCAGTGTCCAACCTGGCTTTGGATACTTCCAGGGATCCAGGGGCAGCCACAGCTTCTCTGGGCACCCTGTGCCAGGGTCTCCTCACCCTCACAGGGAGGAATTTCTTCCCAATATCCAACCTAAATTTTCCCTTTTTCAGTCTTTAGTCATTCTTCTTGTCCTGTCAGCCCAGTTCCTGCGGAAGAGTCCTCCTCCAGCTTCCTCGTAGGGCCCTACAAACACTGGAAGGTTTCTTTATTTGGTAATGAAACAAAACGGAATTACCAAAAAGTGGAATTTTCTTTGAACTAAAAACAGATGTGGATACTAACAGAAACTCGGCAATTCTTTTTTATGCCTAGAAAACAAAAGGAATTTAATGCTTACAAACTTTACAGGTCACCAACAACGGGCCAACAACAACGCTTAACACTGATCTACAAAAAACCTAACTCTAATCAATTCCAGCATACAGCTGATGAGGTTTGGTGGCCCTTCAAGCTGTTAAAGAGACAGAATGAGCCCTCCAGAGTTTGTTTCTTACCTCCTCTGCTGCTGGCCCGTGGGGACTGTAGTAGTAGCCACCATCACTCTCCACCACGACCTCGCCGTACTCGTCGTACATTCCCGACGGGGACAGCAGGCGCCGACGGCTCCCATACTGCGGCAGCTCGTACCTGCCAGGGACACCAGAGCTCCTCAGGATGGGCCCAAATGTGTTCACCCCTCTCATCACACAGCCAACAGTGCAAACCTTCACATTCAGAGAGATGGAAATGACTTTCCTTGTTTTTTCTCCCTCCTTTTTTTCCTTAGCGGTAACCAAATCCCAGACATCCTTCTGTTCCGACAGCCACAAGCTCCTTAGTGTACCTGAATTTTGAGGTCTGTTGGCTCAGTCAAGACCCCTCTAAGTACTTCAACCTTCCTTCAATCTACCTGATTTTTTTGGAGATCTTTGTCAATAATCATGGAGTGAAAGAGCAGCTTCCTTGGGATTAGTTCTGGAGAAAGCCAGCAGTAATTCCTGAAGTGCCTGCAGTCCAATGGGCTTTATCAGAACAAGGCAGGATGGGGTTTCTTGAGGGAAATTTGAAAGGCCATCAGGGCAGGATGGTGTTTTCTGAGGGAAATTTAGAAGGCCACAAGGCAGGATGGGGTTCCTTGAGGGAAATTTAAAAGGCTACAAGGCAGGATAGGGTTTTTTGAGGAAAATTTAAAAGGCTATCAGCTCTCTGGAAACTGAGAGAAGAAAGGAATAATCCCTGAACTCAGGAGGGGAGGAGGTGATGGAAATTAATCTCCTGGGAAGCAGAAATACACACACAAAGGATATAAACCCAGCATGAGGGACGAGATGTAGACTCTGTAAGTGGAATAATGACATTTCTGAAGAAGCAGGGAGTTATCACACACTCCCTTAACCTCTGAAAAGAGTTTTGTTGTTGGTTCACGCCTTTGTGGACACAAAGATTAAAGTAATCCTGAGGTGAAGGGAAGTCCCACGATTAACTGCTGGAATAATAAACATCACCAGCCTGGAAAAGCAGCACTTTCAGAAATAAAGAGGAAAAATGGAACTATACCCGTGCTCGTAACTGTAGTAATCCTGGCCATAGTATTCCTGCCCTGGATCAATTCCAGACTCCATACTCAGCTCCTGGAAAAGAGAAACACTGATTGAATGCAAAGCACGTGAAAAAGGCCCAAATGTAATTACTGATTTTATTATTCTTTATTATGTAATTACTTCTTCTGACTGCAGAAATGGTCCCCATCCTTTAGCACAAAAATACCAATGTCTCACATTTGCTCTTATTGCTTATTCTGGGAACAATTTTGGGCCTAAAAGATTGGAAATAGAAAGATTTGCAATTGCACTGCAAAGCAAGGTGCTAAAGCTTCCAGCACCAACGGCTCAGCTCAGCTCCAGCTTCAGTAATCCATCAGCAGCTGACTGACATCAGGAAAAAATCAGATAGCAGCTTGAGAGCAATAGAATCACTCTATCTGGAAATCTGAAACTGTGAGATGAAGCCAGCGGGAGCCACTGAAAGATGCTCATGGGGAAAATCACAGTGGTTTGGAGTGGTTTGGAAGAGACCTTAAAGCCCATTCAGTCCCACCTTCCATTATCCCAGGTTGCTCCAAGCCCCATCCAATCTGGCCTTGGAAGTACCAAGATGCAATAAATTTAAGGTATTTAATTAAAATAACAGAACTAGGCTCACAATGCCAGAACTCTGCTTTTATCTAAGAGTCAGGGGGAAAAATTAGCTGAGACAGACAAGTTCTTATTACAAAATGATGCAAAAGCCATTTCAAAACTTATAGAACAATTAAGAAATTAAAAATGGTGATACCTCTGGTCTGAGAAGAGAAGGTCTCAGCAACTGCTGTTGCTACAAAAGAAAACGAGAAAGTGGTTAATTAGACAGTAACGATTAAAGCGCAGGTGATTGGTGCCTAAGATTAGTAATAAATGCTGAAACCATAGGTCCTTTGGAACTTTTTTATGGGAGGCAGCTGGATACTTCCATACCCTGTGAGAACACTGAGCATCTGATGCAGTAAGATCCCTTCACAGTCCACCATTTCTTTTGCCTAAATATAAAATCAGCTTTCCAGTTTTTGTGATGATTGTCTGACGTATTTATCTCAAGAACTTCTACCAAAGGCCAAGAGAAGTAACTTCTGTATTTAAATTAAGAGACACAAACCAGCTGTGCAAAGAGAGGAAAATATCAACCTTTATGATAGAAACATATTTTGGAGAACTTTCCAATTATTAAATGAGATTGTATTGAAGGAAAACTCTTCTCCCTGTTATTCATTTCTGGAGAAAACTATACTGCAGGAGCAGAAGAGCTGCAAGGAAGGTCCAAGGAGCCCCATCCCTGCCTGGCAGGTGATTGGGTGTGACATTGGGAAACACAGCAGGAGTGGAGGGAATTCCGTGGGAAGCTGCTTCTGGCAGCTGGTTAAGCAGCAGGTCGCTCTCCTGCCACAATGGATCTCAGCCCCCAGGGGATCTACGGCTCATGAACTTCTTGAATCACTTTCAGTTTCTGGTCTGTAAAGCACTCAGTACCTGGAAGTTCCACAAGACACAGTCCAAAACTGGTTAGGGTTGGGAGAGATCTTAAAACTCAGCTCATCCCACCCCCTGCCATGTCAGGGACACCTTCCAGCACTTTTCTCAGCAGAAAGTCATCATTTATAAGAAGAATATTAGTAACAGACTCGTAGAGTCATGGAGTGGTTTTAGTTAGAAGGGACCTGGAAGCCCATCCAGTTTCGCCCCTGCCATGGGCAGGGACACCTTCCACTATCCCAGGCTGCTCCAAGCCCCAGTGTCCTGCCTGGCTTTGGATACTTCCAGGGATCCAGGGGCAGCCACAGCTTCTCTGGGCACCCTGTGCCAGGGCCTCCCCACCCTCCTAGGGAACAATTCCTTCCAAATATCCAACCAAAATTTCCCTTGAGTCAGTCTGAACCCATCTTCCCTTGTCCTGGCACTCCAGTTCCTGATGCAAGTTCCCTCTCCAGTTTCCCTGTATCCCTTCAGACTCTGGATGGAGCTGTGAGGTCTCCACACAACCTCCCTTCTCCAGGCTGAACATTCCCAGATCTCCCAGCCTGGCTCCAAAAGGAAGATGCTCCAGACCCTTCAGAAACTCCATGGCCTCCTCTGGACCTGCTCCTACAATTCCATGTCCTTATTTTGGGAGAACCAGAACTGTGCACAGAATTCCAGCTGGGAGTGTCACAAGAGCAGAGTAGAAGGTGAGACTCCCCCACTCCCCTGCTGACCACATTCTTGGGCTGCATGGGAAAAGCACAATGGTAAAATCAATATTTTAAAGGTAATTGGGCACCAGCCTTACCTCTTGCTGTGCATATCCTCGCCTAGAAGTTAGAAAAAGAAAAGAAATATATTAGTATAATGCTGTGAGCTTGCACAAAGATGCCCATTGCCATTCTTGCTGGAGAGGGGTGAAAGAAAATGTAATTAGAAATATAATTAACATGGAAAGAAATACATATCTCTAATACTGAATATGTTTTTCTTTTGGTTTGCTCTGGACACAGTGATTATTGCATGGGAAAGGTTGGAGAAGCTTTGGGATCTTTTCTTGCTTTGGATTGTGAATGGACGAGGAGAAATCCCCAATCCCAAAGAGCCAGAGCATCCAGAGAGACTCAACAATGGGAAAGGGGGATTGGGAGAGGCCCTGCCCCATCCCCTCCCCAATGTGCCACCATCCAGAGAGGAACTCTTCCCTCACACGTCTGCTCAAACAGTGAAACAACTTCTCCTACTCCTGGACTTTCTATATCCATCAGGAATCGCCCTGGAGCTTGTATTACTAATTTATTGTACCAACATTGTCATTCCAATTACACCTTTCCTAACATTTGCTCAGTGGAGGGGAGGTAGATTTTTTTTTTTTTTTTTTTTTTTTGCTATCTGCAGTTGTTTAGCCACAGGCTTTGTGCTTCTCATTTTATGGGGAACTTATTGTTGGTTTAATTAATTTTCTCGGAGCCATTCCTGGGCATGACCAATGCATTTATGTCTGTCAAGTTCTTTATTTTCACATTTTGTGCCCGAAAATTGAAATGATTTTGGCAAAACTAGAGAACAAAAATTTAGGCCTTGGAATTTTTCTTAAGGATAAGTCTGGATTACTTTTATTATGGTTTTTAAGAAGGAAAGGGTAAATGCTCAAAATTACGTTAGGCTTAACCTAGGACACAGCCAGCAGTCATGGGGAGGTCTTTAATTAAACTAAATAAATAATAAAGACCAGAGAAATCCTTTGAATTCTTTAATATCCCCATCTCTAAATCTTCCTATTAATATTCAGCACATGGAATTGATTATCAGCATTGAATTAATGCTGTCGCCTATATAATATAAACCTCATGGCCAGCTTAAATGAAGATTTATCATCCAAAGATGATCTGTGACTTTTCAAAGCCCTCTCAAAGAATGCTGGATTTAGTTCCCATATCGCCTACAACTATCTTCAGATAAAGGAGGTCTGAGGAGAAGGAAGTCTATTACTCTTAATTGCACTATATTGCAGATTAAAGGCATAATATGAGTAATTCTAATTAAATCTGGAATTCAACTTTCATAAAAATAGCACCATGCTGAGTTTTGCTGATACTTCTCAAGTACTTTTGTGTGGCCATGATTAGAAGGAACAAGAAGTCCCCAAAAGACATAAAATACCCATTCACTCACTACAGCACAAGGATCTATTCTGGCACAAAGACAAAGGTCAGGACAACATCATTTGTTTCCAGGAAGGAATTAGAGTTCTCCACAGAGGGAGGTAGGGAGGGCTTCAGGGGAATGTTCTTAGCCAGACTTCACTGCAGCCTGGGAATTTTCCATGTGGAATGGGAAGTGAGGTCATGGAGCCTGTGAGGATGTGGGGTAACAGCACAGCTAGAACACGAAGAGACAAAGCCAGAAAGAACTCAAATGGACAAGATATGATGACCTTTCACTGCTAAAAGAGGTTAGAGGAATTGGGATTTGCCCAAATAATCTTTTCCCCAATTCCTGGCATCCCAGTGGGTGTTTACTCTTCCATAACTTAAATCTGTTTTCATATCAAAAGTAAAATCATCACAAATCCCAAATACTGCAGATACTCCTCAGAGGGAGAAACTATGTATCAGTTTGCCCTGGCTCCTAAAATGAAGATTTTCCTGCAGTTCAGAGCTGGAACTGAGAACAGATTTGGGAAGAGGATGAGTAACGTTAACACTGTGGTTCAATTCCAGCTTTGCATGGAAGAGGTCTATACTGATGCCTCTGTGATCCACTCTGCTCCTGCTCAGGACTTGACCCCATCCAGCTGATGATGAAAGGATGAGAGATACGTCCAGGGTCACAGAGGACCCCAACTGACCAAATCAGACAACCTGGGAGGGGTAAGTTATATATAATATAAATATGAATTATTACAGATGTTCAACTTGTTACCAACTCCTATACTGGATCTAATCCTTTGTAGCGCTCCAGAACTGCAGTACATGGAATCATGGAATGGTTTGGGTTGGAAATTACCTTTATGTTCATCCTCTTCCACCTCCACCCACTTTCCACTATCCCAGGGTGCCCCAGGCTCCATCCAGCCTGGCCTTGGACACTGCCAGGGATCCAGGGGCAGCCACAGCTTCTCTGGGCACCCTGTGCCAGGGCCTGCCCACCCTCCCACGGAATAATTCCTTCCCAATATCCCATCTAAAATTTCTCCTCTTTTGGTTGGAAACAATTTCCCCTGCAGCATCCAGACATTTCAATGGGACAGAATTTCCCTGGTACAGCTTCTTTCCCAGTCTAATTGAGTAATTTTTTAAACAAAGGCTATTAAAAAAAGCCAGCAGGAGAACAAAGGTTGCATTATATCCAGACAAAATGAATCCAGTTTTGCAAAGTTTTCAACTTCTAAAGATTTCCAGAATGAAAAAGTAAATGTTCCTCAATAGTGAAGAGCTGATTGCCATGACCCCCTCCCAGACTGTTCTGAAATGATGAAATTAAATATTTAAAATGGGACTTCTGTGTGATGTCCATTCTTTCTGCTCAAGAAACATCCCAATTAATTGCAGCCAAACTGAAACATTGGAGTTTATGCTGTGAATGACTAAACACCTTCACTTCTGCTGTGTGACCTTACACACCACAAAATCAGGTACTATTTGTGTCATATTTCATTGGGGATGTAAAGATCTGCATGACAGCCACTGTTTACAAAGTCTAAAGTGGAACTTGGGTACTTAAATTTAAATTTCTGTCTTTGGGGTTGATCCACTCTGAACATGAGTGGCCCAATAATTGTTCATGCCCATCTCTGCCCTCTTCCCACTCTCTCCTTGCCAGCAGCATGGCCAGGACACAGAGAGGAACATTTAAGTCATATTCCCACTCTGGCTCTTCAATCTTAAAAATTCTCTACCTAATAGATGCTGAGCTTTGGGAATATGATTAAAACATTGCAGTCGTGCCACCTTTGGAGAACGGAGCATCAAAAATGTGCACATCTCCTAAATGACACAGATTATGTTTCAGCAAAAATAGGATAATAGGATAATCCCTCCCCTTACACATTTAGCTACTCCTACACCTACCTTGATCCTACAACCAACAAGGGTTTTAAGTAAAAGAAAATTCTAATGGATCAGCAGAACTTGTGGGATGGAGTTCATGGAGTTTGGCACTGGGACAAAGAAAGAGAAACTACCTTGAGCAGCTTTCGACTGAAGCATCCACACATGTCCTAACTGCAGACTTAAAAAAAACAAACAAAAAACAGGAGAAAAGAGAAAAAGCCAAGCACCAGGGAAATGTTGAGTCTGACAAACAGTCTGATAAAGAATTAATTACCTTTTTGCTCAGAATTACAACATTGATACTGAACTGGAGTTTTAGTTTTGCTTCATTAGGTAGTATTTGCCTTTTCCTTTGGTTTTTCGAAGTTATCATATTGAACTTTTTTAGATTTTGGCAAAGGATTGAAAGGAAACTTGCAAGTTGAACCAAACATTTAAATGCCCAAACTGCTTTTACTTACCATTTTTTCAAAGGACAAGCTAATTTACTTTATATATACATTTATAATTGACATATTTATGTAAATGTTAAGATCTGATTTAGACAACTGTGAGCTAAAAAGCTGGTAAGTAAATCCACATTATGTGGATTTTTACAAGTACTTGGAAACCCTTCACCTGATGACACTAATCAGAGTGACTTTATTACAGTTTAATTGAGATGTTTCAGCTCATGACAGATCAGCATGGAAATTAAAGAGAGACAGCAACAACATGCACAGGCAAAATCATAAAAAATAAACAACAAAGGCATTGTACATGAAAGGAGTTTACAAAACATAAACTTTTCGCATGCAGTTACAAAGTAAAAAAAAATGGAATGGAAGGCAGAAGATGGAGAACAGGAGTGGGGACACAGCCACATTTGCTGAGAAACCAAGAGCAAACCCTTCTTCTGACTGGAGGCAGGAACTGAGCTACCAGAAAATGTCAGCAGAGCAGAGCCCACGGAGCAGGGAGATGCAGTATGGAATTATGGAATGCCTGGGTGGAAAGGGACCTTAAAGCTCATCCCATGGGCAGGGCCACCATCTGAGGTTGCTCAAGACCCATCCAAGAGCCTGGCTCACCGAAGCCGAGCCTGCTTCTCCCAGGCCTTCCTTGCTTTGATGCCCAATATGTGGCAGAAGATTCTTTCCAGGTGGGGTGTTTTATGGGCAAAGCAAGAGATTCCAATCACAGCTGCAGGAAAATCTGACTGATGTTACCTATAGTGAAGGTTGCTTAAAGAAGCATCGAGCACGCTGCCATCTATGCCATATCCTGGGGTAAAAATGGACAGTTTCCCCCAAGAATTTCCAGGAACCAGACTAAGAACCAGCAAGATGTAGTTCTGAGAAAACAACTTGTAGAATTATATTTTACATCACAAATTTCCGAGCGAACAGGAAGGACAATGTCTCTCCATTTCGAATTGGGAGTGGGTAAGTCGTGTACAGCAGAGAAAAGGGGAAAAGTCAGGATTTCTGGAGAGTCTGAGGCAGATACTGTGTGCTGCATTAGAGTCCTCCCGCTCAAAAAAAGCAGGGAACATCCACCTGTGAGCATCACAGAGCTGTCGACTGGGAGGGGAAGCGTTTCTCCAGCTCCTCCACAACACAGCTCAAGTTCCCGTTCTGCTGGTTGTGCTCGGCTGTGGCTTCTGGAGTTGGGAGCTCCGGGGTCGGGGCCGGTTTGAGCTTGGGGACGTGCTTGGGCAGCAGATGGTTCTTGTCTATTTGGCTGTACATGTTGGCCACTGACTTCTCGATGGCGGCCAAATTCTGAATGTTTTT